GCACTTATAGAAATCGGCCCACCATTTGTTCTCACACACTAGTGCCAATTTCAAGTGTCAAGTACCTCTTTATATAGTATGGAGGATTAGGGTTACATTCATATAAACCCTAATACCCATGACCTTTCATTTCCATAGGATCCATGGGTTAAACACTCCATGGACTATCCATGAAAGCTTAGCCCAACCTAAATGAACTTGGCCCATTCCATATATATATATATATATATATATATATATATATATATATATATATGTATATATATATATATATTATATATGTATATATATATATATATATATATATATATATATATATATATATATATATATATATATATATATATATATAAGAGTCCATATTTAATAAGTTCCTTTTGATCAATAAATTAATTCTTGATCAATACTAATTAAATAATATGATTCTATATTAATATATTAGAACTTATAATATATTAATATAAATCATAAACATACTATTCTCAAAAGACTATCCATATAAATTGTTCCGGTGAAGTGCAAACCAAATGGACCATGCCAAGTTGGGTTGAATAGATACCAATTATAGTTATGGACTTAGACAGTAATCCAACAGTTTCCCACTTGGATAAGTCTAAAACTATTATTGTGTATGACTCGAAAACCCGACTAGCAATTGTAGCTCTTAAAGCCGCTGTCAAACTCTGAACAAATCAATGACGCGTCCATTAGATAAGGAATCATATATTCCTCCATTCTAGATATCATATGGACTGAGACATGGATTATAATCATTCTCTATGTCCATTTGTTGTTTCCCGATTTCCGATTTATGACGACCGACTAATTGAACAAATCAAATCAGTCCAGGCTTGGCCAAGCACTTCTGGGTGTCATCACTAAATCATCGAGGGCCCATAGATATCGCTTTTATCCCTTCAAGGGTAAAAGGAATGGATAAACTTTGACTCATATGATTGTTCTACTACTTGTTGAATCATACACAAAGACACGTTTTATAACATCAAGTTACTGATGCGTTTTCATGCAATCAATGTATAACCAACTCATAGTCAACAACTCATATATCTAGGTTTGAAGAATATAAGATATTATCGTCTCATGATCACTCGTGATAAAATCCATGAAGTGATTCAAATGAGCGTGGGTTTAATCCAATACTCGAATCTCATTCCAGGAGCACTCATGAATGTTGTAGCAACTCTTGCTATGTCCAACACCTTAGACATCTACAAGCCCAATTCATGACAGTCTTGCCTTAATACCTACTTCCAACGTATTATCGACTGTGGATGGTTTGAATAACTTAGTCAATCGGAAAGAATGACCTAGTTATTCTGGAAGTCAAAACATGCAAAGTGAAACACAAGAGTAATTGAATCCAATATGGTCTCAGAACTTATGAATATAAATAGAACACCTTTTATTTATCACCATATTTATTACACATTATTCATTACATAAGGTTTCAAATAATCAACTATATACTTGAATCAAAACAATAGTCATGCCATGCTCTAAGCATACACACTATGTTTATCCAAACAATAGTTATGCCATTGTAACGCCCGCAGATTCGGGCTAGTCAATTTAGAGACAATAAGCGTCAAAAATGACTTTTTAATAGAATATTATTTAGAATAAATAATCTTAACCAAGTTATAGTATATGTCATAAGGGTTTCGTACATATAAAGAACGCCAAAATCCGAGTTATAACGAAGAAGTTATGGCTCGTCGAAGTTTTTCGGCAAAACCGGCACGGCACCGGGAGACATAAATAGTGAATTTACGATGGAACACTTTTTATTCTTAGTGATCTAAACAAAATTTTTAGTATACATTAAACCGAGAACATTCAAAAAAAGAACGCCCAAATCTGACTTCGTATGAGGAAGTTATGAATTTTCTAAGATTTGGCAAAACAGTGCACGGCCTGAAACTCGAATTTTAGTTCGAGCGGTTTTTGGCCTACGCGACCTAAATGAGAGTTGAATATCTCATTAATAGGAACTCAACGATAAAAAGACAGACGAAAACAGAGTCCATATGTAGAAGTTATGAATTTTACGCGGACATTTAACAGTATAATCTCCTCCTACTGTTAAATTTAAGATCGGTCGAGAATTAGCCGGCGGAGTCTAAATGAAAGTTGTAGATCTTGTTTTTACCTACGTGTGGAAAAAAATAACGTCAAAAACGGAGCTCGTATGCGAAAGTTATGGGGTTTAGAAGTCGGCAGGGTGCTGCTGCAAAAGGGGTGACGTGGCTGAATATGGGCCAAGGCTTTCTCCCCAAGAAAAGCCATCAGGTGATGACACGTGGCACCGACTCGGCGCGTCCGTCAACCGACTCAGCGAGTCCATCAGGAATTCAGCTTATAAATAGAGGTGTCGGGTTCCATTCATTCTCACACGTTTCCTCTTCCACTTTCTCTCTCTACTTTCTCTCTCTAGTCTCCCTAACCCCCCCTAAAGTCTAGGTAACCCCCTAGCACCCGAAGGAAGCTCCAAGGCTCCTGAAGCCTCAAGAAAAGAGCTTTTCGGCTCGGAAACGCTGCTCCAGCGAAGCCCGGTTTTCAAGAAAACTCGTTGTAAGTGAGCTATGCCTACCCTATCTTTAGTATAGCTTATGTTTCAATATAGTAATGTTATTTGGACCTTATAAGGAGTATTTGGGCTATTATTATGGGTTATATAAGTATTGTTTAACGCTTATATAATAGTAATAATAGCCAGACTATTAATTAGTCTCGGTGAATATTAGACTAAACTCTAGTGGTAATGATACTAGGTTTTGTCCGAGGAAAATTGTGTTGAGAGTAACGAAGTGTTGTTCGAGTGCCGAGTCACCACCTTTTCAAGTGAGTGCATAGTTACTTTCATCTTACACATAGATATGAAGTATTTAATATAAATTACGTGCTATGTGTGAATATTATCTGTATACTTGCTATCTATGCTGGATGAACAATTTTATACATGTTTTAAATGATTTAAACTGTATATGTATTTTATATCTACAAAATATGTTGGGTAAAACATGGGTAGATGAAATATGAGTTGGATGATGAGGAGAGGTGAAATAGACCATGAGGTGAGAGTGAGAGGTGGATGATGTGAGAAGCCTTTTACCCAAATGCTGACCCCGTCATCTAGCAGAGTATGGATGACAACCACGGACTATTCTGGACAGTCCAGTGGAACACTAGCAGGCTCGCAACCTGTAGGTGTTGTGAACGATGTGTTCACCGGTGTACTCTAAAAAAAACCCATTGACATGTATTGCGAGTGGACTCTCAAAAACGATATTGTCAATAAACGAGATAACTCTGGCAGATGCGCCTAAAGGACTCTACCAGCAGAAGCGCCTAATAGAGAACATCATAACCCTGGCAGATGCGCCCCATAAAGAATGTCACAATTCTGGCAGATGCGCCTAAGTGATAATATTAGCAGTTGTGCTTGACATATGTGTCATTAGCAACGATGGATTTCGTGCCTATTCCTTAGGATAATCCTTAGGAATGAATGAACGAGGAATAGCTGATTCTTAGGGTAGATCCCTAAGAGTAAATAAGATAATGGGGATGGGTAATTGGGTTGATTATTTGATGTTTAAACATAATAATTAAATTATTGTGGGTTGAAAACCCTATGTACTCACCAGGTTTCCCAACCTGACCCACTCAAGCTTATTTGAATCACAGGTGCCGATACGAAGTTACATTACACTGAGGGATTAAAGAGGTGTAGATCACTAATGTCAATGAATGTAAGTTCTGTTTATGCTTATGTTTCTCTATTGACAATGACATCCGAAATGTTTTTAAAATGAATAAAAATACATTTCTTCGGAAATTCTTTGATAATGTATTTATCATGTTTTTCTAGGAACAAATTCCGCAACATTTTTATTAAAAGAGATACTTTGATTTTATAAAGCATAAACAAAATCGGTCTTTTATGGCCGTGAAAATGGGGATGTCACAGCCATACACCAAGTATGCACACTATGTTTGTCTATGATCCTTACTTTGTGGAATAGATCAATTGACACCACTAGAAAAACAGCCTTTTACCACGCGCAATGCTTGTCATAAAACGCTCAGACGACGCGCAAATGCGCGTCAAGAAAGGCCCTGTCATAACGGAAGACGACGCGCATTTGCGCGTCGTCTGTTTACAACGCGCATTTATGACGCGCAGTTATGACGCGCAATGCGTATTAAGAAAGGCCCTGTCATAAAGGAAGACGTCACGCATGTGCGTGTCGTAACCTTACGAGGAGCGTGTTTATGACACGCAAAGCGTATCAAGGAAGCCTGTGTCATAAAGGAAGACGACACGCATGCTTGCGTGTCATAATTTTAACTTTTTTTAAAATTATATATTTTTGATAGATTTACTAATTTTCAAATTAAATAACACATTAAAAGTCTCATAATACAAAATAAAATACCATAAACAATAAAGATAATTCATTGCACTAAGGACCATGTTAACAAAAGAATATAACATTATATACCATAAGTACCCTCAAGTAATCAATCTCTTACAATGTTACTAAAATACCCTCAAGTAATCAATGTCTTACAAAGTTACTAAGAGACTTAGATACTCAGTTGGTATGTAATATGGCACTAAGAAGCCCAAGAATTGTTTGTGTTTTTCCTGTTCCTGGTGGATCCTACATGGACAAAAGGTAAGAATTAGCATTTTCAAAGTACAATGCCTCAATAAGGAAATCAATGGTAAAAGGCAAATCTGAATAAGAACAAACTTTATACATATATACAAGGAAGTATTGTAATACACAATAACAGCAACAAATACCAAATTACCCTTTGCTTACCTTTTCTTATGGCCACCTCCAAAAGTGAGAATTTGATAAAAGATTTAGGTCACGCATTCTCTCATCAAGCTCTGTATCCAAAAGTGAGAATTTGAGAGGTTAAAACATCTTAAAAAACTTCCTCAGAGCATTATGGTCACATAAATGCTATACATCATCTTCCTCAGGCAGTTTCACTGCTGTGTAAATACCTGCATCAGCTAGTGCGCCAAGGATGGGAGCTGTAAGGTAGATCCATATGCCTTTGTAGTTATTTGCAGCCATTGCTGGTCCCAAGGTTCTTGCTGGATTCATTGATGCTCCTGTCAGTGGCCTATATCATTTCAACAAACGGAAAATGTGAACAAAGAGGGTACCCTTTTTTTTTAAAAAAAAAAAAAAAAACTTCTATCAACATACCCAGTTATCATAATATTAAGAAGGTTCAATTTATACGTACCCAGCTATAAGAATATTAAGCATGACAGTTGCTCCTACAGCTATTCCCGCCAGCTCACCAACCTGTGGTGAAATAAAAATCAGGTTACAGTTATTTGAATAATTGCAAATTTTGTCTATGTTCATGTATATGTAAAATTTCCATAGCCAATTTTATATTAATATAAAGTAATAAATATATATGAATAATTGAATATGGAAAGCCAAACATATCTACACTCGACTTTGGGCGATACTTTTCAAATTAAAAATTAATTAAATATGAAGTACATGTGATCTTTATGAAACTATATAATAAGAAACTATCACTCCAAATCCACATGATGAGGAACAATCCAAATTTGTCATCACCAATATCAATATGAAAATAGACATTTGTCTGGTCATCATGACTTTCAAGTTCACTAGAACAGTTTTTTAAGTCTCTTCATTAACTCACGAATCCCCCTTTTGTCTTGGATCTAGCATTCATTATATTACAATAATTGAATATGTCGAAAGAAATTAAATGCATGAATTTGTAGCCATAAAAAGTATAAGCAAAAAAGAAGAATAGAATAGAATGAAATTGAAAAAGTTCTTACAGCTCGAGTGTTGGTAGCAACAGCCGTGACCACAAACATGAGATTAAACGCAATTATGAACTCTAAAGCATATGCTTGTCCATACTTAACTGAAGGAATAGTCACACCCCCCACCCATCATTGGATCAAACACCGCTTTCAGTGTAAATGCTGCACATATCGACGCCAGCATCTGTGCCCCTATGTACACCCGTACCTACCACCAGTTTAATTTAACCATAGTTAGTTTTAGGGGATTAATTAATTAGTTAGTTAGAGGTGTAATTAATTACATGCTTGGATCTTCACTACAAACCGAAAGGGCATTATGGTCACATAAATGCTACCATTTATATACAGTTTCACGGTTAGTGTCCTATACAACTCAGCAATCCCCTGCTGATGGTGGGCTGAACCTTTTTGCAGGTGCACCAAGTTTCCGATCAAGTTTAGGCGTGCCAGGGACAACAGTGTCCGGAAAATTTATATCAGGGGTGTTATGGTCATTTACCGGTTTTCCATGTTCAGCAACTAAGTCAGCTTCTTCATGGAGATTGCTATCCACCCCTGCAGCAGGCTTCTTTTCATGCCCCTGAACATGATCAAAAGACTTTTATCCAATCAGCAGTTATCCGTACAATCTTGACAAACCTACCTTAAATTTTATTCCCAGATATACCCTTTCGGTTTTTAACTAGGTTCATTACAAAGCAATGTTTTTTGTTCAATCAATAGAGAATTATATGTCCATTAATTTAATCATGTAGACTGGATAAACTAATTACCCAAAGATGGTATTCCTTATCTACAGATGACAAACAAATCATCCAAAGATGGTATTTTTCCAGATTAATTATTCAATTTTCCGATAAATTCATAATCCGAGTATGGAACATAGCAAATTCCATCATAGTTGTTGCATAATTGAAGGAAAATCAGGATGAATACCCATCTGAACAAACAACCATATGAAATCTAACCTGTTTACTCATCAAAATTGAATCAGTTATGAAACCGACCACATACCTTGGGCCACTACTTGCTTTAACAATCACTGTGATAAAAGAAACATAAAACCTTAGAAAGTAACAGCATGATATATGTAATTTAGCATAATACAAAAAGTTCAAACCCTGGATAAGATAAACACACAAAAAATTCATCGGACCATAACATATTCTCGAATTTATGCTCAAAATATTAAATGTGAGTATGTGTGTGAGGTGCTATGTGCGACTGCTAACAATGTATCAGGATGGGATCGAGAATCAGAAAAGTAGGGGGAAGGATATCACACCTAAGAAATCAAACAAGAAGAATTAAAATAAGGGAGAAGGAACAAAGCATACCTGAGATGCTTAAAGAGTAGAAGCGAGGATCGTGGAATGAGGAGGAAATCGCCATTGAAACCTGCATAGTTTTCCAGTTAGGGTTTAACACAGGAGAAGATGAGAAGATCCAAAATCGAAATCAAAGCTATGAATAGAGGAGAAATTAAAGAAATAGAAGAACGAAAACATTAGGAAGAGAGAATAACCAAACCATATCTTAGTCGGGCTAGGGTGTGGAAATTTGAGCAGTCTCCGACGAGGTCACATGAGCCCGAGGTCACCGGAGGAAAATACCCCTAAGGTCGTTGGAGGAGAAGTGAGCAAAGATGTTGTCGGCGAGGTGAGGCGAGATCATCGATCGATTGTTGCAGAGGCTAGAGAGCACCAAGTGTTTCCCTTCTTAAAAAAAAGCCCTAGTCCCTGCGATTTTGTGGAATTTAGTAGTACTATCCTTGCTTGTCTTCTTCTTTGCTTCTTAAATCGTAATAACAATCTCTATGAAATCGCAGGTTGGGTTTTAGGTTAGAGGGAAAGAGAGAGAGGAAGACGAAGACCCTAGGCTTCTTTCTTGCTAATTGGAAGGGGAGCGGGTTTTAATTTTTCACATGGAATAGGCGGGGTTTTAATTTTTGGGGATTTCATTTCCCCCTTTCAAGAACGCGCGTTTTGAGTAAAACATAAAACGACATTCACAGAGGACGCACATTTTAGATAAAGTGCCCTCCGTGTTTTTATTTTTTTTACATGAGACACTAATCTAAGGGCACGCAATAATGCGTGACATAAATCCTTAATTTTTTTGAAGAGACGACACTTTTTTAATGTCACTCTCTTTTGCGTAACATAAGTCAATGAGTGTCGTGGTTTGCGCGTCGTAAAATGGTTTTTTTCTTGTAGTGTGAACATAATTCCAATGATTCTCATTTCACAATCCCAAATCGTTATCGTAAATGAAAGAATTCCAAATTCCTGCCATTTGCCGAAATCTGTTAGATTCTAAACTTATATGCACTGATCCTCTTGTAATGATTATGCACAAAGTCATAAAGACTTGTCAACAGACATTACAGAGTATTCCAATATAGATTAAATCCATGGAAATGAAGTGTCATATTCAAAGTACATTGCTTTGAACATCCTTCTTGCATTAAATTTTCTAATCGTACACAGATTGATAACTTCCACCTATGGAAACATTCCCATTTTGACTATCACTTCTGAACAAGAGTTGCCTCTTTTCAGAATATGTCAATATGGTCCTTTCCAAAATTTACACCATTCTTCCAACTGTCCATGAGCAACCAATATTTGGTGAACCTCAGATTTTCCTCGACAATTGCTAAATCATTTTAGTCATATCCAATTCTAGACCTTTTCCCCTCTTAATGCCCTGGGCATTTGGAAAATTTAGGATGGATTATTATAGCCCATGCAATCGGTCCTATATCTGAAGCATATGGGACACGATTCATGATGTCTCACATAAAGACATGGCACTAGATCAGTCTGTTGCTATGATATTTCTATTTCTATTTGCCATGTTCTCATAATTCAGATTTGAAAAGGGATGCCTTAATTATAATCGAATTTTAGAACGCAAATAATGTTCCCATATATAGAATTTCCTTATGTTGAACCATTCCAACATAACATTCATATATATACTTGACTAAATTTGATTAAAATCTCACGATCTAAGCTTTTAGATTTGAAATGAAGTATAATTTCCTCTCCCTTAATTATAGCAAAACAACTTTTCCCAATTGAAACTTTTGTTTTCTATAATTAACATTGCTAACTTGCAACACTTATCATAATTATCATGCTCCCACTAACATGATGATTATTAGCATATCACTTATGCTCCCACTAGCTTTGACATGTACTCAGAAATCAGCTGGACTTCTAGATATCAATACATTATTGACTTTCTTACCAAAGTTCAGATTTCTGATACGAGATGCTTTGATAAAACTTTATCAAAATCGTACACCTTTCCTTAGATAGCTCACATGTGTGTTTAAACAATTTTAGAACTATGAAAAGGGATGTCGTAATCATAGTCTCAATTGTTTAGACCTTTTCCATTTCTCACAAGTCCATGTTAGTGTGTCGGTTAACCACACACGCTCCACTAACGACTTTGAGAATGCAAATATCACACTTGCTATCTACTTAAAATCTATATAGTGAAAGCGTTTCCTAACCATCATTTTCGTGAATCGGAGAGAAACCTTATGACACTTAGATTTCTATGGTGTATGTGTTCCTATACATGTGAATTTGTCAAAACCGTAATCACACGACAAGGTTAGTGACAAATCCAAATTCATATGGACTGAACTTGTGCAATATTAAATTCTTGCCACCTGGCAGCACAAGGGCCTGCCATTGCTTCCAAGTAGTTATGCGAACAACTGAGAACATGTAGAACTCAGATGCATAGTCAACTTTAACTGGAATGGGCACAAAAATAGGAATATGTCAACACAATAAGTTACAAACCTCAAGTCGTGTGCTAGTGACAAACTATAGGTTTTATTCTTGATTAGACTCTTCCAAGATCTTTTAGACTCCCATTGTCCTCTTGACATATAAGACTCTCTTGCCAAGACCCATTCCTTGAAAAAACAAATATTCAAGAGATAGTGTGAATTCTTATCAAGACAAACACTTCACACAATTCGCCTTAGTTGGTCTTTGTTTTATACAAAATATCACAACTTACCAATTTCTAATGTACAAGATTAGAAAACCTTTTATTCTACATTTGACAAGTGTAAATAAAACCTTCTTTAAGATGTGTCACTCAAATTACAATCTTGGAGTATGACTCTAAGACATGTTTTGTAACGAAGTATGTATCACCTTCTTGATTTAACCATTTCAACAATTCATGACTCCTCTTCTTAGCCATAAGAATGCACTAAAATGTCCCTAGAGGATCTTGGTTGATGAGAATCTTTCCTTATTTGATGAGAATAATTCCAAGTTTCTATCCAACTGAAACTTGGTTGATGAGAATCTTTCCTTATTTGGTAAATTATGACACTACCACAAACGACTTCAAATCCATTTTCCAATGTTGCTATCAATGGAATCATATAAACAATAATTTTTCACAAATGCCACTGTAAGGATATTTAAAATAAATAAAAAACGAAACTTTTCTTTTATTTAAAACTTGCGGAAAAACTTATCCTTACAATGCAAATGCATATGAAAACTTGTTGTTATCTATTCCTAAGCAATCTATCACAACTGTTAAGCAGCAGCTCAAAAATTCTGATCACCGAACGATGCGATCGAAATCCATCTTCACGATCAGAATCAGCTTACTCTTCTTTAAGATTCCTCTCTTTTCTTTGATTCTTAAAACTTCAACATGTGACCCAGTCACATCATGTAATAAGAATCTCCAAAAAGGAACTTAATAGAGTTAGATAGTGGACTTACCTGAAGTAGAGTCAAACTTTTGACTTGACCAACCTTATGATCTTTCAGGTAAATAGGGCAGCTTTGCAACCAATGCCCCTTCCTTTATCAATATAAGCATATGGACTCTTTGGGAATGGTATACGAGATTGTCTCAGACTTAGCCTTTCTCTTTACTATTTGGTTAACCGATTTGACTATGGTCGATCCCTTTCCATTGGGAAGAGAAAGCTTTTCTGGATTTCCAATGTTACCATTGTCAATGTCAATGAAAGTTTGGGAAGTCGATCGTCCAATCAAATTTGCTTTACCCGTGCTCCAAATCATTGATGATTTAGCAGCATCAAGCAAATTGGTAAGATCATTAAGGGTCATGTCATGGTCTGTCATGTAGTAGTCCTAAAGGAACTCACTATCTGACTTAGAAAGTGATTAAAGAACTTAGTCAACAACCAACTTCCTCAATACTTTGACACCCAACTCTCCCGGCTTGTCAGTATGTGACTTTATCTCCAAGATGTGAGTACACATAGACTTTGCTTGCCAATAGGGCTTGAGTGACCTTGAACTTTTCAAGAACTTGTGGGTTAGGGAGAATAATTGGAGGAGGTGAAGGAAGAGAAGTATGATTTCCATGGACCAACCATGGGACATCATCTTCATTAGAAAAGCTTGTTCCCAGGGATTTGGGAAGATCATAGTTGTCTGAACCAGACATCTACAATGGGACAAATTCAATTGAGTTGATTTAAGTCCTTAATAGAACACCCAATATGAAATATTAAGGCTAGGACCCAACACAATATTTTATTACTTGGAAGAGGGATGCCGTAATCCAAGCTATAAAATATGTGAAGGTAGTCGAATGACGATTCACCAATTTCCACCAAGAAAAACGAAATAATTTATTAGGTTTTTAATCGGATTTGAAATTCCTAGATCTTTTGAGATTCATTGAACTTTTCAATGACATGTTTCAATCTCGATTGTTCCCTCTCAGGTTTTGTGACTAGGATGCCGAGGATCACAAAACAAGGTGTGAATAACCATGCAAATATACTTGGTACCCTTAATATTTATCACTTAACCGATATGCCGGTTAACCACACGCGCTCCACCGATCCTATGATAAACATTAAGTTACCCTTTGCCTACCTTGTTAAATCCAGGTTAGTGTGCCGGTTAACCACACACGCTCCACTAACGACTTAAACAAAGTACAAAGTGTAATTTCATGGGTTAGCACGAAATTCACATTTTCCTAGAGAAACTAAGATTGGGAATTTATAAAAGGTTTAGTTACTTTATATTTATCATTATAATTATAATGAAATTTATAGTCCTTGTCCTACCAGTTTGGCTAATGACCCTCTACCAGTCAAGGAAGCGGTGGGTGAGAGTGGACACCCATTAAACTACCATTTTATATGCAGTAACCTTATACCCCCCTTATAGACCGACTTCGTGAATGAGGCCTACTAACAGTAAGACTGACTCCATTCTTATACATATATATATATATATATATATATATATATATATATATATATATATATTATTAACTTATAATACTATAAAGTATAAGGGTTGAATTTTAACTTTTAAAATTCTAAGGGTTTAGCTTGGAATTAAAGTATT